GCTACGCTAGGCTAGCACCATGATGACTTTGCTAGGGAGAAGTACCTTGGCCTAGGTTGCCCTTAAAATGCACTAGCTCACAAATTTCCTGGTCTTCGAGGACCATTTCGGCTGCAAACCAGTTCTGCCGCGGTGTACACTAAACTCCGGAGGATACTCTGAAATTTATGGTCCCTACAGACGACGAGCCGTGTTAATATATAGTGATTAAATTAAATAGCGATACGAAGAAAGAGATGTTTATCAGTTTAAATAATTTATGTGTTTTTATGTTGTTTTTTTTCTTATTGTTGTTATACTTGGTCCATATTGTATATATATATATATATATATATATATATATATAGATTTCAGAGAATCCTCCGGGAGTTTAATCTTGCTATTATGGTGATTATTTTTTATTTATAAAAGTTAAAAAGCGCTGCAACTTGGGGTTTGGGCGGGACAGCAGGACACGACTACGAAAAGCGGGACAATCCCACCAAAAGCAGGACAGTTGGAATCTATGGCAACGACTTTATCAACAATGTCAGTGTGCAAATGCTTTCCAATTATATGCTACTGACACCTCGAAAGATCAGAATGCATGCATTAAAAAACTTGTATTTCGGAGTTGGGGTACACTTCACCAGCGCACCAGCAGTTTCCCGATTTTTTTAATTCCGGTGGTTTGAACATATGAAGACAATATTGTACATTTACAAAATGTTCAAGTATTCATTAATTCTGTACAGTATTATTATAATATATAATTTAAGAGGTTTGTCTTTGTTATCTGTATATTGGTTTGAAAATAAAATTAATTAAGCACATAATTAAATAAATGTAGGCATGTCCTCAATATACAAAATTATTTTGCTATTCCTATTATATATTTTCTTCTTCGTTTATTTTTAATAAACTACACATTTTATTCCAGGTTAATGTTACTGGTAGTCAAGGCAACCACTCTCTTAAAAGATGTCTCGGTTTGTCGATAATTTTTGGGTAAGTTAATAAATACTCCCAGGTTTATGGGAAGGGTGGTTTCCTATACAGTACTGTAGGATAATTTAAACTCAGGAGTGTTTCTTAAAACAAAGTTAAATGATAAAAATACTATTAGTATACTGATTACAGGCCTGCATATGCCTTTTCCATGAATCGGTAGACTTCTTGAAGTGATGGCAAACAACCTAAGTCAGTGGTTCGTAACCAAAAAAAAATAAGATAAGCTTTGAAGCTAAATTCTTTACCTCATGTTATTTTAAAATTCATAACTCATAATGAGGGTCATATCACATTAATTTTTTCTGGAAAATGTTCTTAAAAGACTATATTCTACACAACTATATGATTGAAAAAAAAAATCATTTTTTTGATCTCTGGATTCAAAATGAAAAAAGAAGAGCCTATCTAAATACAGTAGTGCATTACAATAGGCCTATGCCTTACAACTGTTTCAGTTACCATATAACTTTCAGATTTCTCTTATTATAAAGTAGAAGTTATGTTTTAGAAAGAAGTATCATAATTCATTTTTTTAACAAAGGAAAATCTCTTAAGTCACATGGAAACTGAAACAGTTACACTAGTCAAGTACATACCACTACTAGTACTAACTGTACTGTGCATAGGCCTATTTTAATACACTATTTAGGCTCTTTTTTTCAATCTTTATTTCATATAGTGATGTAGAATGGCCTTCTAAGAACATTTTCCAGAAAAAAACATTAATGTGATACAACCCCCCATTAAATTGAATTTTTAAATAACATGAGGTCAGGAATTTAGCCTCAGTTTCAATTTTAATTGGCTCTCACTTTTTCAACAGTGGCACACACAATACAGTGGTGCATCCAAACTTACTTAATTAAATAACAAGAAAAGTGAACAAAAATAAAATAGGTAGACGAAAAGGTAAACCGAAACATCAGGGAATTAAACAAAAATTATTAAAGAAAAGAATAACATCAAATGATACAAAATTCAAATCTCAATTATGATAAATATAAACAAAGGGAGTACAACGTTTAAACATACTGTATTGCAGCAAAAAGCAAGTTAAAAATTAACTAAAATAAAACAATGCTGCAGCCTCAAAGCTTATCTTATTTCTGTTGGTTACACACCACTGACTTGGGTTATTTGTCATCACATCAAAATGTATCTACAGATTCATGGAAAAGGCATATTATGCATTTGCAGTCACATAAACCGGTACTTGAAATTATCATACAGAGTTTCTATTTAACCAGAAGGTGCACTGACTGTGTTCAAATAAAATAAAACAAAAGTGACTCCAAATAGAGAAAGTGAGGCCATTTTACTCGAACGTTTTGACTTTATTAAGTCATCATCAGGAATAAAAATATTTATAGAGTAATTAGAGGTCCAGATGATGACCTAATAAAGTCGAAACGTTGAGTAAAATGGCCTCACTTTCTCTATTTGGAGTCACTTTTGTTTTATTTGAGTTTCTATTTCATTCTTAAATTTTGAAAAACCTACTATTAGATTTATTAGTAATTTTTAATCATATTAATTATAAATTATAGTTTAAAACCAAAATCTAAGCATGCAAGTACAAAATTAAAATTATGAACTTCCACACTTAGTGGGAATTTGGCCATCTATCCGACAGGCTTTACCCGCTGTCTTAGGAGGTGATGAGACCAAAAGTATCGATATGTCTATGTATCCAAAAAAATGTTATTTTTTGGTTAGCATCCCTAATATTTTGGTGTAAAATCACACTTTGGGGCATTACAAAGCCATAAAAAGCCACATGAACATTACCTTGGGATTTTATTCCGGGACCCTGACTGAGGCTTTAGTTGGCCCCTTAGTTCAGACCCCGTATCGGTAAATTTCTGGGGCCACCACTGGTCCATAATTTGAAATTTCACATAGTGTTTAATGTTATATATTAACATTTCTAATCCAGAATAATGTTCTACTTAACCTTAGATATCGAAAGTTTTTTTCATTGCAGTTTTTATTGTTATCGACACAGGGTTTGTGGCCAAAGGGTCATGTCCGATCCAAGAACAGGGTCATGAATTATCATATCTAGTACTGTCTTTGAAAGTAAAACAAAAAGAAGGCTTTGCACTGGCATTCTGATTGGTTGAAATCATTATAATGATCAGCAAGTTGCATAAAATTATTATTTCAATTTCACTTCAAGTTTTCATTTCAAATACAGATAAGAGTGCCAATGATATTGTAATAGTTTTGTGTATGGCTATTAATAAATGAACACAACTTCTTTATTCCATGTTCAAATACCGAGTGCCTACTTCCGCCTCAATGTCATACCATGGACCTATTAATAAGAAGGACATACAACGTAGTATTGCCCTTTGATCTATCATTTTTTCCGACAAGATAAGAGAGGGGTATATTTATCGGAATAAACTATGAAAAGATAAGCTCGGTACCGTTATTTCTTACGTTATCGCCTTTCTGGGCATGCGCATTAGGCTTTCGTTCTGCTGCCTGGTTCTCCGCGATCGATCGAGAGACACACATACACACATTAAACTGTTGAAAATACCAGGTCCATGAAAATTCGAATACAGTATGGACGATTTAGATTTTTGCGTCAATGACGCAGAGATCGATAATAGAAATGCAAAATGCACTATGTATGCAAACAGAAGTCAGAGGATAAAATGATTGCATGTGGTGGTCCAAACTGTACATGGGCCTAGGCCTAGTAATACGTGGTACCACTACTTCAACTGCATAGGCTTGACACCAAATGAAATAGCCTTCCTAGCGATGGCCTGGGCTTGTAAACGGTGTGTAGTCGCTGCTTCAGCATGAGCGGGTGACAGCAACCTACAGGGGCCTAGCTGAGAGAAACAGACGGGTTCCGTACCGTCTGTTAAAAAAGGTACCCTGTATTTTTTTTTATTTTGCCTAATATGGGCTAAAACATGGACCTGTAGTATTAATAATTTTGGTAGGCCCCCTATTTCTTTGATTGACTTCAGTTTTCATACCTACTTTTGTGTATGTTATGTTTTTTATTGATGACTGGAAATTTATTTTCACAAACCTAGATTAATAAATACTGCAGGTAGCCATATTTATATATGTACTGTATTTTTTTGTGTGTCCTAATTTAAAGGCAGATAAATGTAGGCCTGCCTAGGCTAGGTGTAATCGTGTGATGGGGTCGTAACTTAATTTTATAGTTGAAGTTCTGTTGAATCCAATACAAAAAATACCATGCAGTAGTTAAATTATTTGTATTTCATACCTTTTTTTTAAAATTTTAATACAGTAATTTTATATTTATTTTCAGAAAAAAACAGACTGAAAGGCCTGCAAGTGTTTACACCAAAGAGGAAATTGGAGGTGCACTGAAAGCTTTAGAGAGTCACCAATGGATGTAATTATAATATTGTAAATGTACATGCAGATACTGTCCAAAATTTTAAAAACAGTAGCTTAAAATCTAAGATAAAAAGCTTACGAAAAGGAATTGCCCAAGTAAATATGTTGATGTACAGGTATGTGGAAATCTGCCTGATGGTGCTGGAATAGTAATCACTTGTGTAAATTAATAATGTAAATAATAAAAATACAATATTATGTTGAGGTACTAATTGCTTCTTGAAATGATGAATATTACATAATTATGTATTCAGAGATGGCAGTAATAGCACAATAAATGAATTTAAAAATATTTATTGAGACTTTATTTTTCAAAGGCCAATGTGACATTTATCACATTTAATGCATCGAATCTCTTTTGTTAAAGTGGTGGCTCTGAAAAGAGCCCTTTGGTTTGGAATTGCTGTGCTGTATTAGTGTGTCTTCTTGCAGTTTGGTAGTGGTGCTATCCAGTGAAGTATTGTTTCATTGTTGTGATTAGAGTTTACTGTCGTGTGTTTAAAAAATGCCTGACACTTGAGTTGGTAGTCCAGCCTCCAGCACCTCTCTTCTTTGAATACCCAATCACCGGATCTTGACAGAATTTCTCACTTAAGATGTAGAGTACAGTACTTGCTTAACTCAACAGATTCACTGTGGAAAAGCAAAATTATGATTTATTTATTCTATACCATACAATTAAAACATTATCATCAGCAATACAATTTCATCAATAATGATTTTATTTCCTGAACAACAACATACAAAGAGAAAAACAAGCAAAATAATAATTATTATAGATACTGTTGGTCCTGAACATATTATTATTAAATGATAAACAAGTCATATTTAACTATAGAGAGACTTAAAAAGAACATGAAACACATTCTGAATAAATACACACAATAAAAATACAGGTTAGATATATGTGTAGGAGTGTGGACCTATTAACTAGCTATCCTAATATTTAAAATACAGGCCTAGGGCATAGCCTACTATTATTACATTCATAGAGAAGATAGGGGCCTAGGCCTAGATTACAGATAGGCCGGCCTAGCCTAGGCCCTAGGAAGCCTATGAACGTCACGATAACCAGGCAGATGCGCATTTCTACAATCGACATATCACGATATCATCAGAGAACCACCATCACCTAAAATCACTATAAAAATTTTGTAAAGAACTGTAAAGATAAAACAACCATGTTTCAATGAAGTCTTGTAATTTATCTAACTGTTGTTCATATGTGTTGTGTGGAGAAGTCGGGAGAAACGGTAAAAAAATGCATTTAAATGGCACCAAATTCTCATTTTTTCTAGAAAAATCGATCACAAACAAACTAAATAATCTTACCTTTGAATCTCAGTAACTTTTCAACAAAAAGTCGTATTCAAATTCGGTTTTTTGGTACTTGTAGCTACAAAAAATCTTCGATCCACCGCACACAAAAACCTAACACTAAAGGTCACCTAATATGTCAAATTCATTCTCAAATGGACCCAAACTAATGACGTCAGTAAAATTTGTTGCTCCACTCATTCGATATTCACCGATAGAGGGTGTCCTATAGGCGGAAAAGATGAGTTTATTCAAAGGCGCTCGAGAGAGCGGGCTGCGATAAGAAAACGCTTTGAAGTTTCCAAATACCGCTTATCGTTGATTGGCTGAAGGTTAATTAGTCACGCTAGCTGGAAATCGTTGTATGTCCTTCTTATTAATAGGTCCATGGTCATACAAGTAGCGTGCTTTAGTAATGCATACGCTTTATTAGCTAAACTGTAAACAAGGTCCCTGGATGGACAGGCACATAAACAATGGATTATCACAGACATTGTACATAATAATAATTTTGAAAAGTGAAACTACAGGAATGCCTGAGGTACAGTAATTCCATATACTAAAGTAATCATAAACTTAAATAAAATTGTTTGCTTTATCTGTAATCTACCCAGCACTTTTTTCATAAACTAAGATTGATTTTTTGTTGCTTATTCAATAAATTCACATACTGTAGTCGCATATTCACAATACATTAAAGAAACATAATTGGAAAATAGGCAGTTTTCGCCAGACGACATTAACTTTAACGTTAATGGACGACGTCATACCGTAATTTATTCATTTACGTTGCGGAGTACGTTAATTTCAGAATTTTATGTGCTCAACGTACATTATTTACGGGTTTGCGCATGGATATTTCATTTATTTACAAACGTTGTGCGGCGAAAACTACCTATTATTGTATCAGGATAACCTTAAAGCCACTGGGCTTATTTCACGAACTTGCCGTCCTCCAATACTGATATTTTGCTAAATATTCATGGGTTTAGGCATATGTGGCTCAACCAGGATATTGACAATAAACTTTTGTTTTTAAAAGCATTTTGCATGAACAACGATGTAAAGACGTTTATTTACAGGAGAGCACAAACAGACTCACGTAAACATTGTTTTTATCTGCACATTAAACACTTTATTCAAACTGAAAATTATTTAAAATCAGTAACCATATTCAGGCATAGAAGTTGTATTACAAAGTCAAGAACTTCATCGCATATGTTAAAATATGAATATAAGAGGCAGTGATTAGTCATTGCGACTATGTCGTATGTGTGATAGGAAAGAACCAGAAGATTAAGTTCCACTTTTGTCTTGTCTGCCCTGCTTACAAGACGCATAGGGAATCTTTGTTTGAGTATTAATGGAGAAATCCCACATTATATAAGTTTTATGATTTGCTAGCCAATGAACATGCCCAGGTCAAACTGGCTAAACTTTTATATTTTGCATTTAAAAGAAGTCCTCATTAGAAGGTATTGTATGGTAATATTATTTTCTATGGGCTGGAGGACTAAGCATTTAAATAAAGGCAGGCTGAAATTATGCCTGGAAGAGAGAGAATTTCGAATAAAAATCAAATTTTATTTTTGGCCAATTAGCACACCCGCTGCCGCAAAAATGTTTTCTTTATTTTTATTACGCCCGCCGCTGCCTTGAAATCTCCAAAAATAAATTATATTTCTTCCTATTGATATAATGCACTTGTCAATTGTAGTCAACAATACAATTTATTTTTATTTTATCCTCCATCAGGATGTTTTGGCAAAGCTATTTGCTAAAAAAGAAAAAAATTGTTTTAAATTTTTTTTTTCACCTCTGCTGGGGATCTTTAAACAAATAAGTTCGCGAAACAAGAAATAAAAAAAGTCTTGCTTTGTGTCCTTGAAGTCACACTTCAGTTCTCTATTTGCCACATTAAATGTTAATTGGTTTTTTACACTTTAGTTTTGTTTGTATAAAATAAACATACAATATTAAGTTGAAGAAAGAACCGCTCATTGGCAGTGCTGTGAAATTCAGTCAGAGTGACTCACTAACAAGCAATTAACATATAGTATTCAGGACGCTGTTGGAAAAATAGTGACCCGAAGAAGCCATTAGTGTTTGAAAAAAGAAAAATCAGATTTATCAATCAGAATGCATGCATATAAACAACTTTTTTCAACATTTTGGTAGTAGAAGCGCACTTCACCAGCTTACTTCCAGTCTCCTGATTATTAAGTTTCAGGGGTTGAAACATCTTTAATTGCCTAAATGTTTTATTAAATTGAAAAAACCATTTCTGACCAGGATATGCTAGGGAAGGACAGTGCATTAGAGGAAAACACATGCTTCCTGTTTAGAATGGAGTGCTAACAGTTATATTCAGGATACCAACAGTCAGCTTACCACTAAAACCACATTCAGCTGTACTAGTATATCTATATATGTACTTCCTTGTCTTGTAACTTCTCAGTTGTAAAGATATTATACACTAGGGGCAGATTGGGGCAGACTCTCTTGTGGACGGGCACTATGAGCGTTTTATTTTAAAATGGATGCTGGCGTTTTATAAATTTTCAGTATTGTTGTTTTTATTAGCATGTACTCCAAAACAAGCAATTTAAATTTAAATTTTATGTATCAGTGTTTATGGTTAAGTATTTCTAAACAAAATTGTATAAGAGACAGCCCCACCTGGTGCTAAAGGGATTTTTGAGCGGTCTGTTGTTTCATTATTATTATTATTTCATTTTTTATTAATAATATTATTTATTAAACTAGCCTAGCCAGAAAGAGGCCAAATAGAGTCTGATTTTAAAATGAAGTACTGAGGATCAAAATTGTGTACACTACACCGCAACTTTTGAGCTCATACGGGTAACTACACTGTTTTCAAAACATGTTAAATTGAGGGCTCCATTAAAAGCAGTCTTTAGGCGTTGTTTGCTTGGCTGAATTTACGTCAGCCATCTTGTTGAGTACGCACACACAGCTCTGCATGTTTAGAACATCGAATGCGGTGGAGTTAGCGCAGCCATCCCATAGCAAAACCGTGTAACTACTTTTTATATCTTTGTTAAGTTACGTTGTTTTGCCCTGGATCGGCCAAACGTGCTAGTATTCTTATTATGACACTATTGTAAAAACACATAGGGGAGGTCAAAGGGCAAATCACAGTTTGATGCCCAAATAAGTATGAGTATTTTGTTTTAATTTATAGGATGCAGAGTTCAACAGCTCC